AAAAAGGGTGAGAACCTACAACAACTTGAAAAGCGTTGTAAAGGAATAAAATTTTAAAATATAATCATTTAATATATACATTCTAAGAAGTTTTATTCCCAAATTGTTAACAGAGATTCAGATTTCAGTTTCTACTTGATGTACTTCTTTATGCTGTTTGACGTTATTCAACTGTCATGCCAACTTTTACTATTAAAAGGGAAAAGGGAGTGATCATTTTCCCTTGTGGTTACACACTGGTTAAGACACCTGCACCCCACATGGGCGTGCCTAGGTGCCCCAGCTCTGCTCACAACTCTGGTTTCCTGCTGATAGAGACCCATGCAGGCAGCAGGTGATAGCTCAAGTTGTTGGGTCTCTGCCACATACGTGGAAAATCTGGATTGAGTTCCCAGCTCCTGGCATTGGCTTGGCCCAACTGTGGCTAGTGTGGGCATTTGGGAAGTGAGCCAGCAGATGGGAGCTCTCTATCTTTCTCTCAAAACAAACAAACAAACAAAAAACACATTTTCATGAAAAATTCCAATTCCAAAACAAGGCAAATATGTCCCTGACCACCCTGCCATTCATCAAGTCTGTGCATCTGGCCAGATGAAGGTACTGGGATCTGACTATCTCCTGATCAGGAGCCAGAGTAACAGCTGGGAAAGACTGGCTCTGCAAACACAGCTTAGGAGTAAGCAACGCAGCGTCGAGCTTTGAACATTCTCCCCAGGAGTCAGGCCTTCTAGGTGACACCATTTATTCCTTCATGTCTTCTCATCTTCCCATTTAACATTTGTCCATCAAGCCCTAGTAAAGGCCCACTCTTTGCCAGACCAATGTCACATGATGGTGAGAACAGAGAGTCTGACTTCTTATCAACCTCTTAAACTTGCAGAGAAGAAATAGAAAGTAGGCTGTAAAGAAGTTAGTTCAGAAGGGACAACTTCTTCCACTCACTGAGCACCTGCTACGGGGCACACAATAGCTCTCAAGGTAATGTTTGTCTCCACTGCATAGATGAGGAAATAGGCTGTGATAAAATGTTGTTCCAAGTGCAGTGCAGGCATCCCATCAGTTAGCTGTCAAACAAGCTATCCCAAAACTTGGTGGCTTAAAACAAACTATCCCAAAACACAGAGGCTTAAGACAGTAAGCATTTATTACTGCTTCTAAGCCTCAGTGTCAGCTAGATAGTGGTTTCGGTCTTAACTGGGCTCACTCCTGTATCTGCAGTCATCTATGGACTGGGTGGGCTCTCCTTTCTGGTGTTGACCAGGGGTGGGCTAGCTATAGGCTAGCCTCCGATGGCCTGAGCTGGGATCACTGGCTCTTTTACATCGCTTACCAGCACATCTCTTGCATCCCTCCTGCAGGCCAGCCATGTTCTTTGCACTGGCAAAGAAGAGGGCAGGGGCTGGTGTTGTGGCTCAGTGGGTTAAGCTGCTGCCTGCCACACCAGTATCCCAGAGCGTCAGTTCAAGTCCTGACTGCTCCACTTCTGATCCAGCTCCTTGCCAATGCAAGGGAGACTCCGATGAAGTTCCTGACTCCTGGCTCTGAGCTGGCCCAGCCCTGGATGTTGTGACCATTTTTGGGGAGTCAACCAGTAAATGGAAGATCTCTCTCTGCCTCTCCCTCTGTCACTCTGCCTTTCAAACAAATAAATAAATCTTAAAAAGATAGCGAGAGAGAGAGAGAGAGAGACAGGGCAAGCCCCACGTGGCTTGCAGGGGCTCAAGTACTTGGGCCATCTTCTGCTGCTTTCCCAGGCACAATGGCAAGGAGCAGGGGATCAGCAGTAGAGCAGCTGGGACTCGAACCAGCACTCATTTGAGATGCCAGCTTTGCTGGTGGCAGCTTAACCTGCTGTGCCACAACAGAAGCCTCAGTGAGACCCCCTTCTTTTAAAGATCTATTTTATTTATTTGGAAGGCAGAGTTGTAGAGAGGGATAGAGATAGATCTTCGATTCACTGGTTCAGTTCCCAAGTGGCTTCAACAGCTGGGGCTGTGCCAGCCCAAAGCCAGGAGCCAAGAACTTCATCCAGGTCTCCCACATGGGTGCAGGAGCCCAAGGATTCAAGCCACCCTTTTCTGCCTTCCCAGATTCACAAGCAGGAAGCTTCATTAGAAGTGGAACAGGGGGCCAGCACTGTGGCATAGCGGGTAAAGCTGCCACCTGCAGTGCCAGCATCCATATGAGCGCCAGTTTGAGTCCCGGCGGCTCCACTTCTGAACCAGCTCTCTGCTATGGCCTGGGAAAGCAGTAGAAGATGGCCCAAGTGCTTGGGCCCCTGCACCCACATGGGAGATCCAGAGGAAGCTCCTGGTTCCTGGCTTCGAATCAGCACAGCTCCAGCCGTTGTGGCCAATTGGGGAGTGAACTAGTGGATGAAGACCTCTCTCTCTCTCTCTCTCTCTCTCTCTCTCTCTCTCTCTCTGCCTCTCCTTCTCTCTATGTGTAACTCTTTCAAATAAATAAATAAATCTAGAAGAAGAAGGAGGAGGAGGAGGAGAAGGGGGAGGGGGAGGGGGAGAAGGAGAAGGAGAAGGAGAAGGAGAAGGAGAAGGAGAACAGCCAGGACACAAACTGGTACCCATATGGGATGCCAGTGTCACTTAAAACTTGTTTGCTTCCTGTTTATCACATCTTACTGACCAAGTCACATGGCTGAGCCCAGCACCATAAATGGATGGAACTACAAAGTTATGGGATAAAAAAAATAAGAAGGGATACAGAGGAGACCATATGTAGGGATCATCCAAGCAACCAACCTAATGTGGGACACATTAGTCAATTTTATCTGGAAAAGAAAAGCTTTCCATAGGTGTTTGACTCAGCAGTTAAGACGTCCACATCCCATATCAGAGTGCTGGGTTCAAGTTCCGATTTTGTTTCTGATCCAACTTCCTTTTATGCACACCCTGAGAGGAAGCAGGTGATGGCTCAAGTCCATGGATCCCACTACCCATGTGGAAGACATGGATGGAGTTTCCAGTTCCAAGCTTTGGTTTGGCCCAGACCAGTGGTGCACTGGAGAATGAACCAGTGGATGGAAGATTGTGTGTGTGTGTGTGTCTTTCAAGTAAAAATAAAATTTTTAAACAGACTGTATAGAAGAGGGTATACTAGAGCTGGGTGTGGAAGCATGAATGGGTATTCACTAAGTGGGCAGCTGTTGCTTGGAACTGGATGCAGGCTGGTTTGCCACAATCAATAGAAACCCAGCAGGTCTTTCTGTGCTCATGACAGGGTTCTATTATGTGTTATCTTGGCTTCATTCCTTCTGGTCAGGCACAAGGCAGTAGGCACTCAACAAATGTTTACAGAATGGAATTGAGTATCTTATTGTGAATGAGGTGTGGACCGAAACAGCTGAGCCTGGGAGCCAATTGTTAGAAAGAGCAGCTTAACATCAGTTTTCCCTAAACAGAAATCCTTGTTTTTGGCATTTTCTCATTCATTCATCCAAACATTTCCTGAGAGCCATTTGTAAACCAGGTTCTGTGTTAAGATGAAGAATATGACACAATACCAGCTCACAGCCTGGGCTACTGTTTAAATGAAGAAAGCTAGTAATCCTTCCCAGTCAACAAACTTATCCAGCTCTTGGAGCTCTGTTTTTAATACTCATTCAGAAAGTGCACCAGGAGCCAGGACTACACAGTCGGAAGTCCTTAGGGACTGTACTTGTACTTGACTGATGGACAAGATTAACCTTAAGTGTTTTAAGCTAAAATCCATGTTCAGTGGTGTAGAACTACAGGGTCCAACACAGGCCTGACTTTGAGAAAAGTATTCAGTCTTAATGCAAAGGCAACAAGTGTACTGTAGGTGAAATGAGATGGGCCTCTGTGTAAACTGGACTTCTCCATTTCTACAAAAGAATAATGTGTTCTTTGTTGTCTGCTTGTAGACTTAATATCTAAAAGATTCAAGTCTACTTAATAAATAACCCATGCCCCCAGGGTCTGTCCAACACTGACAAGGAATTCAGCTGTGACATGACTCCAGCTGGCACCTCCCCAGAGCTCAGCTGAGACTGCTGGTTTTTGAGAGCAAGACATTTGCTTTCCCTGCCTCTACACCTGTTAAACTCTATCCTTGCATATGTTAAGTCATCAAAAAAGGAACTTATTTGAACTGTATTTGAATTACAAGCTATTAGGCCCTTGGTTTTTAACAGGAACTCCATTTTTAGAATATTTCCCAATTTCATTATCTCTGTATGTCAAGCAATTTCTGCTTTGAATCCAGTGATGAGAACTACATATGCCAAGATTTCCCTTTTTGATTTGGCTGCCAGGAACTTCAGAGGTAAATATAGGCTTGGATTCCTACAGCCCCTCGTATACCTGTCTCTTCTCTTAGCTTCTGATCTTCCACTTTCATTTCTAATTTTCTACGCCTGCACTGTCCAGTATAGTATCCAATTGTTATAGGACTACTGAGCACTTGATAGGCAGCTAGTCCCATCTGGGATGTGCCTTAAGTGTAAAATATTTCAATATTTAATATGTTTACATGTTGAATATTTTGGTATATTTGGTTAAAGAAAACATTAACCTGTTTCTTTTTATATATCTTTTTAAATTTTACATGTCAACAAGTTATATAGGTGTGGCTTGCATTGTGATTTGCATTGTATTTCTGTTGGATGCAGTTTGACAAATTGTCCTGATTTATGAGTGTGTTATTATTGTAAATCTCAAATTCCTTTGGAAAGCAGGTAAAGTAATGCAAAGGAGGGGACAGCAGCGGGGTGAGAGAGGGGAGGCTGACAGGGAAACGTCCTTGTCCTTGTCAGCTTATCTGTCTTGTTTGCATGATTCCCATCCCCCAAGAAACCCTTGGTGAAAGTGTGTTTTTAGCTGCCTTCATCCCAGGTGAGTAGTAGTCTCTTGATTCTCCCCATTCTCCAAGAAAACCTGTTCTGCCTTGCTTTACTTTAGCTAACAACTTGGAAGGGATCTGATAAGAAAATTCACACCACATTACAAATGACTGATAACTCTGTGTTCACCCCTCTCAGGGGGGTATTTCCATTTTAACAGGGAACACACAATCCCTGAACCCAAAGGAATGAATCTCTAATGGTGGAGTTTCAGGCATCAGTGACAGGTGAGTGAGAGGGAGACTGATTGCAGGTGAATGTGTTTTATGTGGCTACATTCAAAATGTAGCTGAAAGTAGGGTCTTTGGCTGGAAAGATAATGGGACTGACAAACAAGCCAAGCAGAGAAAGTTAGCAAGTATCCAGCCAGGTCGGACTGCAAAAGGCTCACAGACACCAGCCAGATCCAGCGCAGGGGTTTGTTAAGCAATAAAATGGCCCACTTGATGTCACTAGAGGGTAGATACCTAGAGAGTCTCCATGGCAACTACTGTGGAGTAGCAGGAAGGGTCTGAGTAGAATCAGAGACTATGACTGCAGTCAGCAACCGACTCATTGGCTTAACTCAGGGCAAGTTTTTAAACCCCTTGGGTCTCAGTTTCTTCATCTGGAAAACAGAAATGGGTGTTATAACTATCACACGAGTCCTAAGAGATGTGAAGGTGCTCCGAGAAGTAGGAAGTCCCCACAAATCCAAGGGAGAGTGGATAATATCATAAACTGGAATGCAGGGAGGCAGGCCTAGAGCAGTGGAGGGGAGAAAGCAAGGGGAGAGGGCCATGGGGGAACGGGGCGGTGATGCCTCGTACCCGGAACGCGGTGCTTCTCTGACCTCCCAGGCTGAACCTCCGACTCCCAGGGCCATGCTTGCACCTGACCAATGATGGCCTGAACTATGAGCAAACGGGACTCCATGGACACGGCGGTGCAGGAGCCCCCTCTTGACTTCTCCTTCAGAAGCATCCACGTCATCCAAGGTCAGCCCGGGGCCCAGCACCCCACTCCCCACTTCCAAGGAGAACCAGGTTTCCCACGCGCTTGTGGACTTGTGATTGTTGTTTTCTTTGGGAGGTGGTGGTGGTTTATTGTTTACTATTTGCTTTTTGTTTTAAGAGCAGCAAATATGAAAGAAATTTTCAGATTTCAGAATGAGGGGCCTCTCAGGGCAGTTAATTGCCTTCAAAAGGAAGCCTGGCGACAGTTGGAAAGTCGAGTAGAAGAACACGGGGAAGCCAGGGTACCTGCCAGGAGTCATTTTCTCCTGTTCTGACCTGAAGAGAGGAGAGAATGGTGAGAAGGACGCCCAGGCTGCTGTGGACCCAGAAGGGGCAGGACTCTGTCTCCTCTGCCTGGCGCTACGAGCCTGTTCTGATCACTGGCAGACAGGCAGGTTGATAATACTGAACACTGTCATATATTCATTCTGGCCATACCTAAGTTTATTTCCTCATTGCCCACTTACTGCCGGTTCCAACACTGCCCACACTCATTTCAGTTCCACCAGCCAGTATCTCCTCAGTGGGCAGCTGGCACCTTGCACTAAGGGGCACGGGGATGGGGGAGACCCTCAGCAACCTCATATTCTCAGTCATTGGTTCTTCCCAGGTTCTGCCCTCCCTGGCTTTCTTTTCTTTTTTTAAATTTATTTATTTACTCAAGAGGCAAAGTTAGAGAGAGGGAGAGGGAGAGACAGAGAGAGGTCATATTCTATCTGCTGGTTCACTCCCCCAAATGGCCACAACATCAGGAGCTGCAGGGACTCAAGGACTTGGACCGTCCTCCACTGCTTTCCCAGGCCATAAACAGAGAGCTGAATTGGAAGAACAGCAGCTAGAATACAAACCGAAGCCCATATGCAATGTCAGCACCACAGGCAGAGGTTTAACCAACTTTGCCACAGCCTCAGTGTTTTTTATTTTTATTTTAATATTTAGTAACTTATTCTAAAAGTCAGAGTTACAGAGAGAGAGAGAGCTCTTCCATCTGCTGCTTTCCTCCTCAGATAGCCACAATGGCCAGCACGGGGCCAAGCTGCAGCCAGGAAGCCGGGAAGCCAGGAGCTTCATCTGGATCCCCAAACACTTAGGCCATCTTCCACTGCTTGTCCCAGGCCAAGAGCAGGGAGCTGGATCAGAAGTGGGGCAGCTGAGACAGGAACCATATGGGATACCACAGGTGGTGGCTTTTACCAGCTATGCCACAACACAGGCCCCAGTAGCCACCTTTAAGCTCAGGAAGCAGGTGAACAGTACTAGCTGTGGCTTGGGTTTAGGGCAGTATTTGCTTTTGCATTGGCCACAATGGATAGCTCAGGGGTTGTTTTCTTAGGAGCACATGCCCACCTACTATGATCTTTATGTGCGCTGCATCTCTTTCTTTTTAAAAGATTTATTTACTTGAAAAGCAGAGTTATAAAAAGAGAGGGGGAGAGATAGAGAGCTCTTCTGTCTGTTGGTTCACTCCCCAAATGGCTGCAATGGCCATGGCTGGCCCAGGCAGAAGGCGGTCCAGGCCAAAGTCAGGAACTTGGCACTCCATCTGGATTTCCCATATAGGTGACAGGGGCCCAAGCATTTGAGCCATCGTCCCCGCCTTCCCAGGCACGTTGGCAGAGAGCTGGATTGGAAGTGAAACCGCTGGGGCTTGAACTGGCTTCCATATAGGATGCTGCACTGCAGGCAGCAGCTTAACCGGCTGCATCACAATGCCGGCCCCACTGCAGCTCTCACTGATGCAGTCCACATGAGGGCGTTAGCTGCAGTAACAGCTATGAACAAAACAGCTGAAGACAGGGGCAGGAGGAAGTGTTTCAGCTTCTGTCTGTCATAGGAATTCCCAACTCTGAAAGAAGAGATGCAGTTCTACCTACAAAGGAGTCCTCAGAATGAGGAGGGAGTCAGCATTGTGGCGTAGCGGGGAAAGCAGCCACCTGTTACACTGGTATTCCATATGGGCTCCACTTCCAATCCAGCTCCCTACTAATGCGCCTGGGAAAGCAGTGGAAGGTCCCCCAAGTGTTTAGGCCCTTGGACCCACATGGGAGAGACAGATGAAGCTCCTGGCTTCAACCTGGCTCAGCCCTAGCTGTAGCAGCTATCTGGGGAGTGAATCAGCAGATGGAAGATCTCTCTTTCTGTAATTCTTTCAAATAAATTTAAAAAAAAAAAAAAAAAGAGCTGACTGTTGGTATCTAGAATAGTATAAAATGTAATCCATATGGATGCTGTCCTTCAGTCAGTAGTTCAATATTTCCTAGGCACCTACTATTAAGCATTTATATACATATGCTATGACTATGTGTGTCTATACATATATGCCAGGTATTGTGTTCCTTGACAAGTTGGTGCTTGGTGGGGTTAGGTGCACAACAAAGTCCCAAAAGGCCAGAGTGCCTTTAGATTCCCCAGAGCTTCTGAAACTCAAGGGTACTTCACAAGTTCATGGAAAATGTAATTAAAATGTTTATTTTGGTGTAAAAAGTTTTGAAATACATAATTTTTCTTTTTAGAAGATTTATTTGTTTGAAAGGGGGCAGGGGAGAGGGCAGAGAGCGAGCGAGCGAGCGAGCGAGCAAGGGAGGGGAGGGGGATAGGCTTCCATCCACTGGTTCACTTTCCAAATGCCCACAATAGAGAGGCCTGGGCCAGGCTGAAGTCAGGAGCCTGGAACTTAATCTGGGTCTTCCAGATGGGTGGCAGGAATTTAAGTACTTGGTCCATTATTTGGTGCCTCCCAGGTGCATTAGCAGGAAGCTGGATGAGAAGCACAGAACAGTTGGAACTTGAACCAGGCACTCTGATATGGGATGCAGGCATTCCAAGGAGCAGCTTAACATACTGTGCCCATGCCCATGTATAGTGTACTCAAAATGATTTTTCATGAATGTTTTGAAGACCTCTTGTATGCGTGGATTTTAAATATGTTAACTTATTTGAAAAGCAGAGACAGAAGACAGATCTCCTATCTGCTGGTTCACTCCCCAAATATCCACAATAGCCAGAGCTGGGCTAGGCCAAAGCCAGGAGCTGGAAACTCAATCTGGGTCTTCCATGTCAGGGGCAGGGACCCAAGCACTTGACCTATTTCAAAGTATGCATTAGCAGACTGGAATCAGGAGCAGGGCAAGACTCAAAACCAGGCACTCCTATGTGGAATGCAGGTATCCAAGCTGCTGCATCAAATGCTGGCAGCTTCAACAATTCTTTGCATCAAAATAAACATTTTTTAATTCTATGTTATAAGGCCGGCACCGCGGCTCACTAGGCTAATCCTCCGCCTTGTGGCGCCGGCACAGCAGGTTCTAGTCCCAGTCGGGGCGCCGCATTCTGTCCCAGTTGCCCCTCTTCCAGGCCAACCCTCTGCTGTGGCCAGGGAGTGCAGTGGAGGATGGCCCAAGTGCTTGGGCCCTGCACCCCATGGGAGACCAGGATAAGTACCTGGCTCCTGCCATCGGATCAGCGTGGTGTGCCGGCCACGGCGGCCACTGGAGGGTGAACCAACGGCAAAGAAAGACCTTTCTCTGTCTCTCTCTCACTGTCCACTCTGTTAAAAAAAAAAAAATTCTGTTATAAAAACTTCTTGAAGTATCCCTGTATTTATAAAGGATAGGGTTCTAGCACACTATTTGGTAATTAATCAGTGAAATTGCAGTGACTTTAGAAGGCATCTAATCTACACTTCCAGAGAAGGCAGAAGCACTGGCCAATCCCATGTGTAATCTAATAGTACTGTAACTTCTGTTCACAACCCTTCATTGTTAGAATGTTCCCTCTCCCACACACCTCCAACCTTTTTCAGTATGGGACTGTGGGATGCCATAAAAAGTGCTTCCCATCAAACTCACTCCTACCTTCCGAGAACAATGGCAGCCCTTCAGAGACAGGAAGGCAGGATTATGGTTTCCCCAGGTCTTCCTGGAGTTAAATGTCTCCCAGTGCTTTCTGAGTACTGGTATTCATGGTCTGGTTCCAGACGTCCCTTGGCCCACTCTGAACAAACTTTAACAGATCTTCAGGCAATGTAGCACCTTGGCGTAACCTGAGAGCAGTAACCTGTAGCAGTCTGGATACTGCCCTCCCCTTGAGCTCCAGGTAGCCTCAGGTTTTAAGTAATCCCCTCCCGCCAATGGCTCCCTCTGAGCTTGGGATCTGCCCAGGCCTGGTGGCAATCTCCAAGCTTCTGCCTTATGAGATGGGTGCCAGCTCATGTTGGGGCCTTCATTTTTATTCAACTATGTCATCTCATTTCAGCGTTTTCAAAGATGTTGGGGGAGAGGCAGGATTGTTTATTCATGAGCTTGGGTACTCTGCTCCAGTACTCTTCTGGCACCTTTGGCCAGAAAATGTGGGTCCCGCTCACTCTAGACTAAGGCAGAGCGCCACCTTGTGGATACAGTCTGAGCTGCAGCTGAGAGAAAGTTAATGCACTGTGGGGTTGGAAGAGAGACAGTGCCCACTGGGAGGGCTCAAGAATGAAGGCTAGCTCTGCTAGCTTCCACACACACTAATACTTCCGTCCCCAGAGTCCGCTTCAGGCTAATAAACAGAGGTTAGGGCAATGGGAAAAAGTCACCTCAGCCAAATGCAGTGTCTGGTTCTGGCTCCTCCCACTGACTGTGGGCTTGGGCAATGTCTATCTCTTTTTAAAAAGATGGGGGGTATCGCACACTGACGGATTCTACCCCACTCCCTATTCTCTCTGCTCCACAGCCAGGCTTTCCAAGGGGGTTGGTCGACACTACCTGCATTTCCTTACCTCCCATGCACTCTTGAACTCGCCCCCTTCAAGTCTTACCATTCCATTCAAACAGCCAGTTACTAGGACCTTCGGAGTTGCCAAAATTACTTTCAGTCCTCGCATAAGCTACCTGGACATAAAACTCTTCTTTCCCCCTACTCCCCGTCCTTCCCTGTTTATTCATTAACTTCTTCAGTGGACTCACCTCCCCCATGAGCCTCCTCTCCCCTCCCTCTCCCCTTGGGAAGTCCCAGCTGCTCCCTAACTTGTACACTCCACAGTGATTCTCAGTTTCATCTCCAACTGCAGACTTGGCTTCTGCAGGAACTGCAAACCAAGGCCAAGCCGGAACTCATTACCTTCCCAGCCTCATTTCTCTTTTTTTATTCCTTATCATGCAACAGCACTGGCATCCACCCTGTCATCCAAACAAAAAACTGGGCTCCACCCTTGGGTATCCTACTTTTCCATCCAGCCAACCAACCGTAGCCATCATATGCCCGTCATCCCTTCTTTGGATGACTGAAGTAACCAGATTGGTCTCTGGTCACCCCTCACACCGAGGCCGCGGCAGTCTTCCTAAACTGAGAAACTTGCATCACCTCCTTTGCTTTAAATACTCCAGTGGCTTCCCAGCACCTGCAGGATAAAGCCCAGCACTCAAGACTGCCGTCTGGCTCACGTCTCCCTTTTCCTCCCTGTCCCCCATCCCTTCTCCTCTTGTCTGGCCAACATCGCCTGATCCACCAAGACCCAACAAAGGCTTCTAACCTGCCCTGGGAAACTTGCCCAACCTCCCAGCCCGGGTTAGGAGGCCTCTCCCATGTTGCTAGACTATTACTCAGTACTTAGCGCACTGTTGCCAGTGTGTTTCCTTCCTGCCCAAGAGCTCCTCCAAAGCACAAATGTGTGCTTCATTTGTCCCTTCAGGCAAACAGAGATTGGCACAGACTGTCTCCCATTTTAGACACCACTGTAAACCCAGTGTCTGACACACTGTAGGTGCTCGACATTCATGGGGAAGAGGGAGGACGTCCCGAGTGTTCCACTGAAGTGAATTCTGCAGGCTCTTCAGGTGGTTAATTCTGGATTTTGTGTTACTGTCTTGGCTGAAGTTCAACAACTCTGGTTTTCAATTTCCTCATCTATAAAATGGGAGTGGTTTGAACTCACCCTCAGTCCCTCACAGGTGTAGTATACAGAGAACTCAATTACAATCGAGAAAACCGTGTGACCTGGGAAGCCGAGTGTTGGGAGCAGGAAGCCTTTGCAAAGTGGTTAGTCCAAGTTCTCTGATGCCGTAGACCTGGGCCAGGGCCACGCTCAAACACGTGGCTTCTGCTGCAGCTTGGATTGCTCACCTTCACAGCTCTGTCCTTTCCCACCCTTCAGAGCCAGAGAGGCAAAGATGCTAAGCCTAAGCCTCTCTTGGTCCACACAGATATGATAAATGAGGAACCAAGGACAGGGCTGCGGCCACTGAAGCGCTCCAAGTCGGGGAAGTCAGTGACCCAGTCTCTGTGGCTCAACAACAACGTCCTCAACGACCTGAGAGACTTCAGCCAGGTGGTTTCCCAGCTGCTGGAGTACCCCGAGAACCTGGCCTGGATCGACCTGTCCTTCAATGACCTGACTTCCATCGACCCTGTGAGTTCCTGGCCCTAGAGCTGAGTCAGTGGGTGGGGGTGGGGGCGAGCCACTCTGTGCAGCCCCCAGCTTCTCTACCCCCTGTGTCATCAAGGTAGTAATGAGACAGCATGGTGTAGTGCAAAGCGCATGGCTGTTCAAATCCTGGGTTTGTTTCTTGTGGCTGTGGGAAAGCTGCCGACCTTCTCAAAGCCTCAACCCTCTTGGAAAAACAGGGACACCGTGCTAGCACCACACAGGTTTTGTGAGAGAACAAATGAACCCAGGTGGCACATGGAAGGCTGAAGTCAAATTATAGCTGTCATTACCGGGTAGCTCTGTCTTGTGCCAAGTTCTGCTATGGAGGAGGTAGGGCATTTACTTTCCATGAACTCAGATTCAAGTTTTAGGAAATAAACAAAATCTGGCCACTGCTTGTCCGAGATCTGTTAGAGGGGAAAGGAGCTGGAGCACGACCCATACACTGTTTCCCCATTGTAGACATGGCCGCCTAACCAGTGCTGAGAGCTTCTCCTGTGTGCCTCGCAGGGCATTCCACACTCCTGTCCCTGCTGAGACAGGACCACCAAAGCTACAAAGGTAGTCAGTGAAGGGGCCGCGAAGGCTAAGGGACAGGCAGGAGGGCCCACTCACTGGCAAGTCCTGGCAGTGCTGGATCCCTTGGGAGATGAAAGAACGTAGGTTACACCATCAACCCCCTGTGGAGGACTGAAGCGGCCAGGTTGTTCCCTCATGCCTCCTCGCCAGCACGCACCCACCCAAGGTGCTGTCCAGCCTGGCTTTGGTCTCCTTCCCCAACAGGTCCTAACGACTTTCTTCAACCTGAGCGTCCTCTACCTTCATGGCAACAGCATCCAGCGCCTGGGGGAGGTGAACAAGCTGGCGGTCCTTCCTCGACTCCGGAGCCTGACACTCCATGGGAACCCCATAGAGGAGGAGAAGGGGTACAGGTAAGTGCCCTGCCCCAGAGCCCGGGCTCGCCTGAGGGGCAGGGACAGGGACAGGGACAGGAGACAAGACAGCCAGGACCATTCTCGCACTGTGCTTGCTCCTGGGAAGGGAGCAGCAGACCTGTAAGCATTTCCTGTTGTCAGTCAGGGTCCACACACACTTCCCCAAACTGGATCTAAGTCCCTCCATCCCCTGCCGTGAGGGAGAAAGCAGCAGGTGGGGCGGGGCAGGGAGCTTCTGATGGGGGGCCGGCCCCCAGCCCGGGTCTCCTCACCAGGCAGTATGTGCTGTGTATGCTGCCCCGTATCACCACATTCGACTTCAGTGGGGTCACCAAAGCAGACCGCACCACAGCTGAAGTCTGGAAGCGCATGAACATCAAGCCCAGGAAGCCCCGGCTCAAGCAGAACGCACTCTGAGGCCCCGGACCGCAGCAGTCCTGAAGGCCCGAGGACGGTCAGCTTGGTGTGACAATAAATGCTTTGAGCTGTTCAGCAGACGCGAAGTCACTTGTGCCTCATGGGATGCCCTCCAACTCGGGTGACTTCCAGGAGTGCTGGGCATTCCACAGTGTCAGGCCAGCAGCGAGGACAGGAGACTGGGCTTCCCACAAGGCCTTAGGAAGGGTCCCTCTGTACCCTTCAGCTTAGTTATCCTGGGGTTGGCATCGATCACTGAATCCCCAAACTCTTCGCAGAGCGCCAGGTCAGAGGAGACACCCAAGAGGCCCCGTGGCAGGTGTGGCAGGTCCAGAAGACAGGTGGTGATCTCAGAACCTCCCCACTTCAATCACAATGCTCTACTTCCAGCAGCCTTAGCTTTTATATGGTAGGCTTCTGCTAAGATCTCATTTGATTCAAAGAATCTCTGCTTAAAAACATTTCCTGCTGGCTCCAGATCAGGGGTTCCCAGGACAGCTTGGTTTACCCCCAACCCTGTGGCTATCGGTGACCCCACTGAGCCTGAGGCAGGACCCTCAACAGTCAACAGCTGCTTCAGATTCAAGCCTGTGCAGCATTGACTGTGTTTAAGATCAGTCGAATCCAATCTGAGGTTAGCCCAGGCCAAGGTTCAGCTAAGACTTGGGGCCCCCCACCCCACTGCTCACAGACTTGGGTAGCCAGAAGTAGTAGGGTGATGGGTGGGACAGAGGGGCCGGAACCAACGCAGATGAATACATTTCCTTTATCGAGGGTGACAAACAAAAACAAAAAGAAAAAAGACCAAACATGTAAAAACCCAGGGTGCTAGAAAGACAAACTCAATTCATTCAAATTCAAGCTCATCCAGACCCTGGTCACAAACCCTAGAGGTGCATGTGAGCACCAAGTCAGGGAGAGGGGGACAGGAGTGACTCTGAGGCCAAGAGGAAGGGTGGGAGGGGGACCCTTTGGGCCCCAGTGACCACCCCCGCAGTGGCACCTCCACCTTCCCAGTGACTGCGAGGACCTGTCCTTTTGGCCCCCACTCCACCCCTAGCTAGGGCTTTGAAGCCAGTCCCAAATGGTTCCACCCTCCCTTGCTCCGTCCTCACTTGCTCAGGCTTCCAGCCTCACTCTCCTCCTCCTCGTCCACATCTCCGTGATTAGTAGCAGGTTAGGGTACTGTATAAGCCGCAGTGAGGCTGGGGGCTGGGGGAGGCGGGGTGGAGAGAGGAGAAGAGCTGTCCAAGGATGCTTCTCTTCACGGGATCCCAAACTGTACAACCAGCTCCTCTTTTGCGTCCACACGGATCTGAGAAAGTGCACTGTAGGCGTAAGCAGCTATCCTGGAGACCTGAGACACAGGGGACGGAGGAGAGGGACAGAGACAGGTGAGAGGGGAATCAGCGAAGAGCAAGGGGCAATGGGCGACAGGAGGCCAAACAGAAAGCCACGGATGGAAAGGGCCCAGGGAAAAGAACAAAGGAGGTGAGATGGAGTAAGGATTGGGCGAAAAGACAAGAGGACATTAAAAAGAGCGAGGTGGGAGTGAGCCAGGGCCCACAGGCCACTGCGCTCCTAACACCACTGCTCCACCTACCCCGGGGCAGGGTGGGCGAACCCTCCTGTGGAAAGGGAGGCAGACTGAGGGGCAGCTCACCTGCTGCAAGTCGGAGAAGGGGATGGGCTCGCTGGCCAGCACTTGGTGCGGCTGGCTGGTTAGAGACGGCAGCGGTGGCAGCTTCTTCCAGTGGGTCAGGCTGCTGCTCAGCACGGCCAAGCGGGTGCTGAGCAAGGCGGGGAAGGCAGTTAGGCCACAGTCTGACCACCCCAGCCCAGCCCAGGCAAGTCTATTAACCTCCGGCCGATGACAGGGAGACAGGGTCTCTGCTGATCACAAACTCACTCTAGGCACACTCTCAAGACTATCACAGGGCAGAAGCTGACATGGACATCTGAGGCGCCCAAGGGATTTGTGTGCAGTCTCCTGGGCTGCACCCAAACAGTGAGCCTGAGCAAAGCTGGGACAGGGCTGGGGTGGAGAGAGCCCCAAAGGCCTGAGGGAGCCAGCTGGCCAGTGCTCACCTGTACTGCCTTGCCCGGTCCATGTACTCATGTTGCTCCATGCCCTGGGAGTCTGCGGCAGACACATCGATGATGTTGCTTTGGGGACGAGACAGAGAAGACATGACAGGTGTTTTTGAGAGGGACAAACATGACTCAGTGCCAGGTGCCAACTCCAGGGCTATCCGACACCAGTGGCCCCACCCTGCCTTGAGGCGCAGCTCCTCAATGACCTTGTCCCATTCCCCATGTCCTAGGCCAACTCCCTCTATCCCAGCCTTCAGTCCGGATGGACAGACGGACGTTGGAACTCTGCCCCAGGCTCGGGCCTGTGACCCTCACCTGGCTGTCTTGGCGAGGATGGAGGAGAGCAGGGCCTGCTCATCTGTGCGAGCGGAAGGCAGGCTGTGGTAGTTGGGCTCAGCTCCATTGAGGGCTTTGGTGGGGGGGCTGCTAGGGTCCAGCAGCAGCTTCCGCTCCTCTCGATCCTAGGAGAGGCCATGGGGGAGACCCTTAGTCCAACTTGCCTGGGGCTCTCCCTGCAGCCCAGCTCTAGCATAAGCACTCGCTTGAGTGCCCAACTCTATGGGCTATCAGGCAAGACTCAGTTTCTGCCTGCGTGGGGAGCTGTGCCAAACTGGTGGTGGCCTAGGGTTAACTACAGGGGAATAACCAAGCAGTCCTAGAGGCACTGAAAAGGTGGACAGAGGCAGAAAGCAGGAATTCAGCCACAGCCCTGGGGCTTCAGTAAACAGTCCAGGATTTGGTGGAGAAAGGATACTGGACAGAGGGGTGTAACAGCCCGTAACAGTCGGATCTAGAAGGAAGTCAGTGCACGTCGGGAGCTCAAGAACCGACCCCTGGGCCCCAGGACGAGGCCCTCCCCAGCAGAGCTGTCTGCTCCCGAGATGACGGCCCTGGTGAATCCAGACAAGGCCCAGGCACCAAAGGAAAGCAAGTTCAGTGGCCATTCCTCAGGTGACCTCAGGGCAGGAATCTCAGCCCAGGATCTGGGTCACACAGGACAGCTGTCCTCCCTTCTTGAGGGCGGATCCTTCTCTCAGGTGCATGCCCTCCTGTATGTGCCTCCCAGAAGCAGTGGCATGCACCTGGTGAACCCTGCACTGAGCTGAGCAGTACAGCTGTCGCCTCCCTTTCCAAGCCCCCACACCTCTTGTGGCTGGAGCAGCCTCTTCAGTTTCAGGAGCCTGTTCCTGCTAGCCTGTGCAGATAATCACAACCAGCCACAGCCCAGAGTGGACCTAGGGCCAAACCAAGTTTCCCTTTTCCTGCAAAATTGTATTTCCCTGGCCTGTTTCAAGCCTTTCTTCTAATCTACTGTACTCTCTCTGGATTCAACCCTGCCTTGAGCCCATGAGCGTAAATCCCTGCTGGCTTTGTATCAGCTGCGAATCGGATTAGCAGACCTGCTGGGTGTCCACCCAAGCCGTAAATGGGAAGGGAGCCCATCCTGGCTAATGCTGCTTCTCGAACCCCCAGCACCAGACCTCCAGATGCCTCAAAGCTCGCTTCCCAGTCCATCTCAGCTCCTACCACAAGCCTGCCTGCTGCAGGCCCCAGCTGACCAGCCCACAGCTCCACGGCTCTCCTTACAGAGCGCTACCTCCTCCTGCCCTGCACGCTCCACCCTGGGCAGGCCCAGCCTCTTCACCGTCCTTTTCCTTCCCAAGCCTCATTCGCCCAAGTTCCTCAGGCCACTGGCTCTGTTCCCAACAGCTTGAGAAAGCGGCTGTGGCCCTTGTCCCATCACCTCTAAACTTCCAGACCCCCCTCTCTCCTCCATAAGACAGGCTCAGTATTAAAGGGCTAGAAAGACAAAATGCTGCCCAAGACTTAACTATCTCTATGGACAGCTGGCTCCACGAGGCTTATTTGCTTCTTTTGTGTCTGTCCTTCTCCCAGTGCCAGTTTAGACAGATCTTGTTAAAGCACAAGGCAAGTTCTCCCCTCAGGAGCTCTTCAGAAATACGGCGGTCAAGGCTGGCTTTTAGTGCACTGATTGAGACGTCCCCTGCTGGCCAGGTTAAGCGGCTGCCAGCGACACTGGCATCCCATCCAATTTCCTGCAAGTGCACCCTGGGAAGCAGCAGATGGCTGCTCAAGTATCTGGGTCCCTGCCACCTACATGAGAATCTGATTGAGTTTTAGGCTCCTGCCTTTAGCCTGGCCCAGCCCTGGCTGTTTTAGGCATGTGCAGAGTGAACCAGCAGGTGAAGATCTGTTTCTTTGTCTCTCTGCCTTTTAAATACATTCTTAAAAATTTTTTTTAAAGTTAAGGATTGGCGGGCCAGCATCATGGTACAAAGAGTGAAGCCACCGCTGCAATGCCAGCTCCCATATGAGCACTGGTTCAAGTCCTGGCTGCTCCACTATCGATCCAGCTCTCTGCTACTGCACCTGGGAAGGCAATGGAGAATGACCCAAGTATTTGGGTCCCTGCACCCACACAGGAGACCTGGATGGAGTTCCAGGGTGTGGATGGCTTTGGCTTGGCTGTTGCAGCCATTTGAGGAGTGAATCAACGGATGGAAGATCTCTCTGTAACTGCTTTCAAGTAAAAAAAAAAAAAGCTTGGGAGGCAGGGCATGTTGGGCACCACTTGGGACTCATGCATCCCATATCACAACATTGGTTCCAATCCCAGCTACTCTGTTTCTGATCCAGCTCCCTAACATACCTGTGAAGCTGCAGATAAAGATGAAGCACTTGTTGAGGACTGGGTGGAGTTCTGAGCCCCTGGCTTTGGCCTGGCCCAGCCCTGGCTCTTGCAGCCATTTGGGGAATGAACCACTGGATAGGAAATCAGTCTCTCTCACTCTGCCTTTCAAACAAGTAAATGAATATTTAAAAAATAAGGTTGTTTCCTGAGACCTGGCCTGTCAGAAGAGGACATGCTACTTCCTTCAGAATTTATAAATATCATCATCCTATTCCCACAGGGCGAGAACAGCATGGGGCAGGTTTGTCACTGGGTCAAAATAAGCCAAGGGTAGGATTTCACTGTCTACCCTGGCAAAGACATGCATGTGGCCTGCCCATGGCTGGCTACCTGGCCTGTAAGCATTGCTGGAAAAGACAGCTTGGCCAAGAGATAAAATAAAGCCCACTGGTTTGGCATCAAAACATCTTGGCCACAGCACTTCTCAGCGTGGCTAAATCACCCAACCTCTCTGAACTCCTTCCTAACCCTTAAACAGACATAACCCAGATCTTTTTTTTTTCCTTTTATTTTTATTTTTATTTATTTATTTTTTATTTTTTGACAGGCAGAGTGGACAGTGAGAGAGAGAGAGAGAGAGAAAGGTCTTCCTTTGCCGTTGGTTCACCCTCCAATGGCCGCCGCGGCCGGCGCGCTGCGGCCGGCGCACCGCGCTGATCCGATGGCAGGAGCAGGAGCCAGGTGCTTTTCCTGGTCTCCCATGGGGTGCAGGGCCCAAGCACCTGGGCCATCCTCCACTGCACTCCCTGGCCACAGCAGAGGCTGGCCTGGAAGAGGGGCAACCGGGACAGAATCCGGCGCCCCGACCGGGACTAGAACCCGGTGTGCCGGCGCCGCTAGGCGGAGGATTAGCCTAGTGAGCCGCGGCGCCGGCCCATAACCCAGATCTTATGACATACATTTGGCAAGAGCCCAAATGAGGTAACTGTCCAGCCCTTTGAGAATTGTAATATCCTGTATATTTCTTCATAAAATAATAAGGAGCAGAGATGGAACTGGGAGAGAGTTGCTGGAAGAGGACTTTGAGGCAGCAATGATCATGGCCTTTGTCACATGAGGCCTCAAATCACCCAACACGGATCATACACGTTCCCTGACAGCTCCATACAGAAATGAGGGGCCAGCGTGGTGCAGCAGGTTAAGCTACTGTCATCTCATAAGGGCCCTGGTTCAAGCCCCAGCTGCTCCACTTCTGATCCAGCTCCCTGTGGTCGCTTGGGAAAGCTATGGAAGATGGCCCAAGTCCTTAGCCCCTGCCACCCATTTGGAGATGCAGATGGAGTTCCAGGCTCTTGGCTTCAGCTGATCCAGACTTGGTCTTTGTGGGCATTTGGGGAGTGAACCAACTGATGCCAGCACACAACCTCTCCTTCTCCAATAAATAAGTATTTAAAAAAAATAGGCCAGCGCCGCGGCTCAACAGGCTAATCCTCCGCCTTGCGGCGCTGGCACACCGGGTTCTAGTCCCGGTCGGGGCGCCGCATTCTGTCCCGGTTGCCCCTCTTCCAGGCCAACTCTCTGCTGTGGCCAGGGAAGGCAGTGGAGGATGGCCCAAGTGCTTGGGCCCTACCCCCCATGGGAGACCAGGATAAGTACCTGGCTCCTGCCATCGGATCAGTGCGGTGCGCCGGCCGCAGTGGCCATTGGAGGCTGAACCAATGGCAAAGGAAGACCTTTCTCTCTGTCTCTCTCTCACTGTCCACTCTGTCAAAAATAAATAAATAAAAATAAAGCAGCCTTATTGTATTTCACAAATAATGAATGTGATATAAATTCCTATTACTTAGAAAAAAGAAACCCACAGAAATGAGACTCCATCAAGGGAAAAGATAAAAGACTAAGAAAGCAGCAGGGGCCGGTGCTGTGGCACAGCAGGTAAAGCCGCCGCCTGAAGTGCCAGCCTCCCATATAGGTGCTGGTTCTAATCCTGGCTGCTCCACTTCCTGTCCAGCTCTCTGCTGTGGCCCTGGGAGAAAGCAGAAGACTGCCCAAGTCTTTGGGCCCTTGTACCTGCAACTGGCTAATGGCTTCAGATTGGTCCAGCTCTGGCCACTGTGGCCATTTGGGGAGGGAACGAGAGGATGGAGACCTCTTTCTGCTTCTCTATAACTCTGCCTTTCAAATAAATAAAGAAATCTTAAAAAAAAAAAAAAAAAAGGAAAGAAAGAAAAAGGCAGAAAACCTAGGTCTCCCTTCTAGGTAAACTTGTGCCGTTTCTCACAGGGCAGTAACCCTCAGTGACTCACTCTCTGCAACAGTCTAGGTTATGTATGGGTCTTGCATTGTGCAGGGACACTGTAACAGGTTGAGGTGAAGTGAGAGGTGTTGGGCATGAGGCATGCTTAACACACAGCCTAGTAACGGGAGCATACACACGAGTTGCTTGGAGAACTGAAGCCCACTAGCCAAGCCACCCATGCCTCCCAGACACACAGCAGCCTTCCCTGAGCTTAAGCCCTAAATCCAAAACACCCACACTGGGAGGAGGGTGGACCAAAAGGCAAAAAACTATTTCCCAAGTTCTGGTGCTAGCCCATCTCTTCACTAAACGCTGAGCTACCTGATGCAAGCTTTCCACTGTCTCTGCTGCTATGAGCCAGCGCTGAAATGCAGAACCCAGACACAGAGGCAGTCAAAACGGGGAGCGGCTGGCTAGCAGCTTGGGACTTCATCCTGGGAAAGATCCGCGCCTGCTCAAAGTGGCCGGGCAGGGCTTAACTGGGGAGAGAAGTGCGGATGAACCCAAGGGAAGATGGAGAAGTTTACGCTGTACAGGTCAGTTCTCCCCAGCCTAATCCTTTCTCCAAAGGGATCAGAACGAGTCAAAAGGCCAGGGGAGGCACTCCTCTAGCTGGGGGAACCCTCAGTCCCCAGGCAGGGACTGCACCGAGGCAGGCCAAGCTCAAAACAATGGAGCTCTCCCATCCATTTCTTTTCAGAAAAAGGTACACCTGAGCCCTTGCTGCCCAATTTCCTGCAAGACCCGACGTCCTCAACTTCCAGCGGCCTTCTCGGACCCCAGACCAGGCGTGACCTCCCTTCTCTAAACCCGGGGACTAAGAGCATACACAAATTCCCGACTCATCTCGGGACAGCTTAAGTCGGAGCCTCAGCCTACCCACCGCTACAGTGGATTCACACTCCGCTAACACTAGCACAGAGAAGGCACAGGAAGCTCGGGAGAGAGTGCTTCCCAGGGACCTGGGTTGAAGACGCGTGAAAGTGTAAAGATCTGAAGTAGAGGGACACGGAATGGGTGGGAGAGAGCTGGACAGACAGCTGCATGCACACCCCCCAGGCGGGAACTGTGTAGGAGACCTAGGGCTTTAAGAAGGGTAGGAGTCCGGCTCGGCGTCCCCTCCGTAATCTGTCCCCTCCAGGCCTCCGTACTCAGTGAGCCCTGCAGTCCGGTTCCCACTCCTCGGCAGATTTCTTTCTGGGCCCCGTGCCCCAGGACCTCAGCCCTCTTTCCCGAGCCCCGCCTGCCGCGGCCGCACCTGGTCCGAGTCTTCGTTTTCGCTGCTGTAGCAGCACCCCATGGCCGGGGTCGGGCCGGGCGCTCAGGCCGAGCCGAGGAGGGTCGGCGTCCGTCAGGAGCCCTTCCGGTCACATGACCCGTAGCTGCCTCCCGCAGGCAACCACCGGCAGCCCTCCCCACGCCTACCCCGTCTCACTGCCGCTGCCGAAGCCTGGCTTCCGGCCCCGCCCCTGCCCGCGTGACCATCGTCAGCCAATGGGAAGGGGCATCCTGCGCGATGGGGCGCGAGGCACGTGATGCGAAGAAAGGGAGGGGCGTATCACATGACTTAATTATTTGCCGAGTCTTTAAGCTCGAAACCTCTGACTTTGGTTGTCATGGTCCTTATGAGAATTGTGCCTTGTGGTTACATGGCCGCTAAGCCACCTTTCTGGGCCAGTGAATGAGTTCCTACAGCAAATGTCATGATATACTTACTTTTCTAAATGCCATGAGAGGAGCGAGTGGGATCCAGGGCGAATGCAGTCTGGGAACACGTACATAGGTCCCTTACCGGCTCTCAACTGGGGTGTGGTGCCTGACAGTTATCAAATTGTGCTGGAGATCTGCAACTTAAAGAAGGGACTTTATATCTTAACTAGGTGAAGCCAAGTAGAGGTTAGCCTTGTAGAGAGAAAGAGGCCACCTAATCTTACCTTCTGATCTTTTTGCAGCTGCCATCATAACTTAACAGAGACCAGCTCCCCCCTCCCCCAGTTCTTTTCTTAAAACTTTCCCCCTGGACCAATGCAGCCAAGGGGCCGGAATCCCATATGGGCACTGGTTAGAGTCTTGGCTGCTCCACTTCTGATCCACCTCCCTGCTAATGTGCCTGGAAAAGCAGTGAGAATGGCCCAAGTCCTTGGGCCCCTGCACCCAAGTAGGAGACCTGGAAAAAAGCTCCTGGCTTCAGCCTGGGAAATCCCAGGCCTTTGTGGACATTTGGGGAGTGAACCAGTGAGTGGAAGCTGTCTCTCCATCTCGCCTCTCTCTCTTACTCTGCCTTTCAAATAAATCATTAACTAGAAAAAAAAATAGAAAGCTCTCTGCTATAGCCTGCGAAATTAGTAGAAGATGGCCCTAGTCCTTGGGCCCCCTGCACCCACGTTGCAGACCCAGAAGCTCCTGGCTCCTGGCTTTGGATAGGCTCAGCTCTGGCTGTTGCAGCCATTTGGGTAGTGAACTGGGGGATGGAACATCGGTCTAACTCTGCCTTTCAAATGAAATGAAAAAATCTTTAATAATAATAACAAAAAAAAAAAAAACCCTTCCCCTGTGTTCTCCACCCCTAACCCAGGTCCAAGTGTGCCATTCAGTATCATGAATAGCCTGATACCTGCTCCTTTCCGTTCCTCGCCCCTGAGTGGGAGGGGAGGAATGAGGGAGGGAGGCGTTTCTCTAACCTCAGTGCTTGGTTTCCTGATTGACCACCTGGACTTCACACATGCAGCCCAGCACACAGTCCTCCCTCCAGGTCTGCCTACTCCTAAGTCTCAACACAAACAATATCCCCTTGATTGCTTTCTCTGACCCATTGCTACTCATCTCCAGTTCTCTGTGCTTAACCCTTATCCAGTGTTGATTATCAAATCAACAAAAATTTACTGAGTGCTATGTGCCACACACGGTCCTGAATATGCAGCAGTTCACCTAATAGCCCAAAGTCCCTGGTTTCATGCAGCATCCAACCTAATGATCAAACTATGTTCTCTGTTCCTGGGTTGGTGTCTTCTACTAAACCTGGCAGTTTCTGGAAGATGGCAAGAGGTTCTGACTCTTCTCTGTGACCAAAGCCAACGCTTGCTTACAGAAAACTGGCTTTTGAGTAAATCAATCTCCCACCACCTTGGTTCATCCCGTGCCCCACATCCCGATCCATGGAGATGCAAGAGAGGATACTAGACCTAGCAGCTTGTATTACCTCTCAAATCAAGACCTTGAAGTTAAATTTTTGGAAGAATCCTGAAGGGCAGGAGAAGCTTCAGCTTGTCCCCGAGACTGGTAACTGAAGCTGCAGGTTTCGGGTGACAGCAGCAGCCTCAGCATCAATAATTGAAAGCAGGCCCAGCTTTCTGCCTCCGGGCTCTCCCTCCCTGAGGACTCCCCCTCCTGTCCTGTGCTCTGGTCTTCCCTAAGCAGGAGCCTTCAGCCCAGGTAAGCAGGGCCCTTGAGTGTGGGTTCCAAGCACATCAGTTGAACCCAGCGTGTCCCTTGCCCATTCACACCCGCTCAGATATGTTCTTTTACTTTCATATTTAGTTCCCACCTCCACCAAGGAGGTCTGCTGAGAGGCCACGTGTGGAGGAAGGGGGCATGGGAGAGGGCAACCACTCCCCCAAAAGGGGTCCTGCAGAAGGGGACTGAGTGGGGGCAAAGTGTGCCGAGTGTGTGTACGGGCCTGTGGAGGGGCTTCTAAGAGAGCCGAGGCGAAGAGGGGGAAAAAGGGAGGGGAGACAGCACTGGAGAAGAAACGTACACTCAAGACTCCTCCTCGCACCAGGGAAGAGCAGGCACGATCCTGCAGTGGGAAAAGGACATCTCACTCCAGGGTCCTGTGCATGCTGGATTGCCTTGACTGGGGCAGAATGCAGTGACAGGGAAGTGTTGCTGTTTAGCTGCACAGTAATGGGACAGAGGCCAAGCTCAGGGCGGACAGAGTGAAGGCAGGATATCCCAGAGGGAGACTGGTGAGAGATCCGGAAGAAGAGGTGGCTTCAGGGATGAGGGGCCAGAGGTGGGGCTGGCAACGTGAAGATGGGACCAGGCGTCAAGACTGGAAAGGGGTGGTTTGGGGTTCGGAGCTGAACATGGGCAGCATGGAGTCCTGGAAGGTGCATGGGCCTGGCATCACAGTAACTGGGATTCAAATTCTAGTTCTGCTATGTGACTTAGGACAAAAACAACTCAGCCTGGAGACAGTGTGTCTTGGCCTTTCTGGTTTCTAAAATCCAAGAATAGTAATTGCTGTTAGTAAGGGCTGCACCGATGAGAAGCAAACAGGGGGTGTGAGTTTCCTTCACTGCCCCCCTTCATCCCAGGGCTCAGGTAGGGACCATGTCCCCTGCCATTGCACTGGCGTTCCTGCCACTGGTGGTGACGTTGCTGGTGAGGTACCGGCACTACTTCCGGCTACTGGTGCGTGCGGTCTTGCTGCGGAGCCTCCGAGACTGCCTGTCAGGGCTGCGGCTGGAGGAGCGGGCCTTCAGCTACGTGCTCACCCACGCCTTGCCCGGGGATCCCGGTCACATCCTTGCCACCCTGGACCACTGGAGCAGCCACTGCGAGTACCTGAGCCACATGGGGCCTGTCAAAGGTTAGTGTTTCCTAGCCTTCCACTCAGGAAGGACCCCAAGACGGTGAGGGAAGATCTGGGGCCTGTCGCTGCCTTACTGGGTGGGTGGGTGGGTGTCTAATTTGACAATGAGGGGCCTGGACTACATTTATTGCCATCAGGTATGGGCTAGCTGCTGCATGGAAGAGGAGGTAGCGGCCACAAACACTGGCCGTAAGGGGTCACAATACACCAGGGAGTAAGTGTCTCAGCACACAGCCAGGAGCTTTGTGATGACCCGTGTCCCCCCACCATGGAGGTGCCCACATCCCAGACCACCTGTCTGCCTGGATTTACCTCAGTGCCAACTCCCAGCACAAGTGCTTTTATTCTGACTCCAAGCTCAGAAAGATAGTATGGGGGGGAATGAAACTGAAAGTTCTAAACGAGGCCTCTCGGGAGCCTGCAAGATGGGGTATGGTTTTCTCGCCAGATGGGAAGTTTCTGCAAGGGCCCTCCTGGAGGCCGCAACATTTGAACTAAGCCTAAGCTAGAAGGACTGGCTTTGACTTGGCCAGGCTGTGGGGAAGGGCAGAGCATAAGGGAGTCAGCCAGCATGGCTGCTGGGGCACAGCTGTTCCAGATGGCTGTGATACAGGCTGCAGGTGGCAAGTGCTGCGAATCGAAGCTGAAGCTGGAGGATCCCAAGTCCAATCCCAAAGGCCTTTAGAATAACAAGTGCCAGGGAGTGACAGGGTCAGATTTGCTGGAAAGATTCGGATTAGATCGCAGGCAGCAGAGGGAACCAGTGGGGCTGCTGGGGCTACGGCCTGAGAAAGATGAGACCCTAGCTGGTTGTGGGCTGCAGTGAGGCAGGTAGGCGCAGGAGATCTCTTTCCATCAGGAGACTTCTGCAACAGCCCTCTGCCCCCACAGGCCAGATCCTGATGCGGCTGGTGGAGGAGAAGGCCCCTGCTTGGGTGCTGGAGTTGGGCACCCACTGTGGATACTCCACCCTGCTTATTGCCCGTGCCCTGCCCCCTGGAGGTCGCCTTCTCACCGTGGAGCGGGACCCACGCACAGCAGCAGTGGCTGAAAAACTCATCCGCCTGGCTGGCTTCGATGAGCGCACGGTCAGCCTCCCCAACTCCCCGACCCTGACCTCTAGTTGGGCCTCCTTTGTTGGGGACTCCCATCCCCTGAGAAGGAAACAGCTCTGTTTAGGTCCTGTGAGCCTGAGGAGGATGTGTGAGCAATTTCCCTCCTGTCCCCAGTCATTTGCACATATTTTCTGCTGGTTAACAAAAGCAGAAGCTAAGAGGAAGGTCTGTGGAGCCCGGCAAATCTGGCTCCAAATTGTAGTCTGCCTCCTGTTCGCTGTGAGGCCTTGGGCAAAGCATGCACCCTCTGCAGCTCAGCCTCATCACAGGCAGAATGGAAATAACATGATCCCAACTTCTTGGGTTCTGAGGCCAGAGAAAATAAGAGAATATTTTTGGGGACACAGGCAGAGCCTGGTGTGAGGTAAGCCACATCCTGATGGGGTGTGGGGTACAGAAAAGCCACACCCACTCTCACTGCGATTTCCCCACCCCCGCAGGTGGAGCTCATCGTGGGCAGCTCAGAAGAGGTGATCCCGCACCTACGATCCCAGCACCAGCTGAGTCGGGCAGACCTGGTGCTCCTGGCACACCGGCCCCGGTGTTACCTGCGGGACTTGCAGCTGCTGGAGGCCCATGCCTTGCTGCCAGCTGGTGCCACTGTGTTGGCTGACCATGTGCTCTTCCCTGGTGCACCCCGCTTCCTGCAGTATGCCAAGAGCTGTGGCCGCTACCGCTGCCGCCTCCACCACACTGGTCTCCCAGACTTCCCAGCCATCAAGGACGGCATAGCCCAGCTCACCTACACTGGACCTGGCTGAGGTCCAGACCCAAGGGCTCTGACTGATGCCCCCCCCACCCCCTGCCACCCAAACACCTCATAATATCCCCTCTCCTCCCTGTTTGGGCCTGACACATGCTGGGGCTCAGGGGAGGGAAGGGTCCAGCCTCCACACAGGAATGTTGAGTTCTATCAGTCTGCTTGGTCCCACTGGTCACTCTCCTTCCAGAGACAGCCGTGGACCAACAGCAAGAGGCCTGAGCTCCCAACTCAGCGGTGTCACTGATTGGCTGGGTTCTGCTCTGAGACACGATCTGCTCTCTCAACCCTAAGGAAGTTGGCGGGAGGAGCTCCAGGGGCCTCCCCCTCTCCATCCCACGCCACCCTGGGTGAGATCAGAGGAGACGGCAGACAATGAGTCAGAGACACTAGAGGAATGGCTGGATGCAAGCTGGGCCAGAGGAAATGGCACAGGAGCCTGGGCCAGGGGCAGGGCCGCCCTGGCCTGTCCCCAACCCTGGCCCACCTGGCCTATTTATTTTTCCTGATTTCCCTTCGGCGCCCTCTCCCCACAGCCCAAGAGAAGATACTGGGCCCCACGAACAAACAGGGAATAGACATGAGGGGAAAAAAAATCAGTCCTGTGTCTTTATTAAAGAGGGTTAGATAGAGACCAGACCTGGTAGCCAAAGGGTAAAGTACTGGCCAAGAAGGTAGGGTGGGCTCAGGCCCTGGGGATTCAAGAGCAGACTCATGGCCTGGGAGAGCCAAGGAGACCAGGTCCGGGCAGCAGCTGAGGAAGTGCCCAGGATGAGCTCTCAGGCACTGGGCCATTAGCTGGTTCTGCAGGCTGGGGCCTTGGGGCTGGGCATTGGGGGTGCAAGGTAGGTTGGGTTGGCCTGGAATCTCCCTGAGGCCACCCTGCCTTGTCTACCTAGATCATCCACTGGTCCTGATCCTGTTCGTTGCCTTCCATGTCCACCTGGAGAGGAGGCTGGGTGTGGGTGGGGAGGAGCCTCAGCCAGCCTCAGCCCCAGATCGTGCCCCTGGCTGGATCCAGGGTTTCTGTACCCCTTGGCCATCAGTGAGGTCAGGGGTAGGGGCCCAGGAACAGAGGCCCTTCCCAACACACCTGCCTACCTCATTGACCTCTCCATCATCAGGTGACTCGTTGTAGTCATTCATCTCGTCCATGTCCTGCATGTCCTCATCATCCTCTGAGTCTTCTTCACTGTCCTCATCGTCTTCATCATCTTCTTCTTCCTCATCATCATAGTGCTGGGGGGTGGGGCAGGGGAGCACCTGTAGACCCTACAGGCCAGCCTGGACCCGTTCAAGAGCTGGCCCACTTGAAGCCGCTTTCTGGGGCCAGAATGACCCTCATACTCGCCAACATTACCCCTTTAAGGTTAGCACCTGTTTTGCAAAACCACAGTGCTAGGCCCAAGGCCCATCCCTCTAGTTCCCCTTTCTGTCTCCATCCAGAGCTGAGAATCACAACTGCTCTGGGTCAGAGGCAGGACATTCAGAATTAGAACAGAGCCTTGGTCCACCCCAGGCCCACTCAGGTCTCTCGTGCCGGGGCCACTCACCTCTGAGGCTGGCTTGCCGATAGGTACCAGATTGTTGTCTTTCTCTGCAATGCTTTGGAGCTGGAGGCCAGAGGGGCAGAGCAGGACCAGGGTGCAAGCAGGGCAGGTCAGAGGCATGGGACTGACCCACTCTGCCCCAGAAAAGACGTTCAAGTGTGGGGGAGAAGCTTCCTCCCGGTTCTCGGAAGATGCAGGCCTCTCCCTCCTGTCATCTGCCCCTTTTCTATGAGGTTGATCTGCTACTTCAGCACTCTGGGTCTTTCTTTCCTCCTATAACTATAGTGAGGGTGAACACGCCTCCTGCTAGGTCTGCAATAACTATCAAACGTGTTATTTCCTAAGCCTTAGGGAAGAGAGTTAGGGATGACTGTCAGGAGCCTGGGTTCCAATCTGGCCCAGAAGTCCCATGGTCCTCCCAACAATCAGGTTACCACAAAGACAAGAACCTTGGCCCCCTGGCTCCCAGCCTGACTATTCTCAGCTCAGGGCAAAAAGTTCCTGCAGGGAAGGTCTGCCTTGAGGCCCACTGAGGGGGTGGGGGGCTCTGACTGCTGGGCTAGATCCTCACTCACCCACGCCTGATGCTGCTGTTCCTGCTGCTGCAGCTCTGTCTCCTCCACACAGGGTCGATCCAGATTAAACCACAGTGTCTCAGTCACACGAGGGAAGAGGGAAGGGAACAAGGTGGACATGGCTCCTGGACTGAGGGAGAACGTCAGGTGAATGTCGTTTGTCTTGGCTTGATTCTTATTTGGGAGTAATTTGATTCAGGGATGGGGTGGTGTAGAAAGTAGCAAGGAAGGGCAGCTACTTTCCTCTAGGAATCAGACAGACCTGGGTTTCAGTCCTGGCTCCACCACTTACTAGCTGTTTGACCTTGGCCAAGTCACTTAACCTCTCTGGGCCTCAGTTTCCTCATCTGTAAAATGGGGATAGTAACAATTTTATCACCCTCAAAGTTACTGCGATAATCAAGTACTGCTATCTGTAGGCTGTTCAAGCAGGCAAGAGAATGGGCGCCAAGTGTAGAAACAGGAACCCAGAAGGCACCTTGGCATTATGAAATTATAGCAAACTAGCAGGGATTTACTGAAATAATCACCACTTCTGAGCATTCAAACCGAGAGTACATGCCACACCCACCCGGTTTCAGAAATTTAGGACACTAACCACTTCTGTCACTGACCACAGTCAAATTGGTGGGAGGGGGGAAGGAGGGAGCGTGGGTTACCCCGGGCAAGCAGGGTGCAGTAAGCTGTTCCACAAGGCATGGGTAAGTGAATAGGTAGACAGAAGACTGCATGGCTGAATACGTAAAAGAACAAGGAAAATCAGCTTTGATTACGTAGCTGACAAAGCTAACTGGGAATGCCCCAGAGAATCTTGAACTCAAACCTCTCCACAAACAAACGGGAAAACTGAGACCCAGTGGCAGGCAGAGACTGGCTTTAGGTCACACAGTGAGTCAGGGCTTAGAACGAACGCGCGGAGGGGGTCAGGCCAGACACCGAGGGAGAAGAGCAGGGGGAAAGGGTCGATGTGTAGTCCTGCTCTTGCCCTGATCTGATCGACCCAGGGCCAGCCGCCGCCCCTCCCTAGGCCTCAGCTCCCCAGCCCGTGTAGTAGGTACAGTCCACCCTCGCGCTCAGAACTGACAGGCCAGAGATTTTGGCCCCGAAAGCCCAACCCTCCACCGCGAAGCCACCGCCCCTTCTTTGCTTAAGATGATAATAACCGTAAGGTTGACCAACAGGAGGAAGGCGGGGGCGGGACTCGGACAGGAGTTTGCCCATATAGGGTTGCTAACCGAGAAAGGAGCGGGGTCTGGGTAGAGCCAATTAACTGAAAGAAATGTTGGGTGACAGGAAGTGACACCAATGAATGGACGGACCTGAGTAATGGGGTGGGGCTTAGCCTCGAGGAAGCGGCCAATGAGCTGGAGCTCTATAAGGGTAAAGGAGTCTGGACATGGAGCTCCTGAGGAAGAGGGTTAAAGAACTGAGTTTCTCGGGGGGAAGAAAGGAAGAACGGGCAAGGAGCCGGCCACAGCCTCGCTTCTGTACTTACCGCGCCGGGAAGCGGCAGCCGGCGGCGACCCGGAAGCGCTTCACCCCGCCTGAGCGGAAGGACCCGCCAGAATCCGGGACCCACCAAACGCATGCGTTCTTCGGCTCCTTTTGTTTCCCGCTACCGCCGTCGGCCGGATGTGACGTAGTACACACCCCAGTCACGTACTAGTTGGAGAAGGACACTTGCCGCGCCTACCTTTTGGCCCCGCCTCGAATCCCAGCCATTTGACCTCTCCAGGTTGGCCCCGCCCCAACGGCTGCTTTTAGTCCCGCCCCTCTGCCCCAGGCAATAATTGCTCGCGAACCCCTTGTTGAACAGCGGGCAGCAAGCTGTGTTCGTACGAAAGCTGGTTTGTCGTGGTGCGTCCCAGAGAATTTGATGTGCTTCTACCTCAAAATCGCGGGATGATTTGATTTCCCTCCTGCCCGTCCTTTCTCAGCCTCGGTTTCCTGCTTGAGTCCATTCATTCTTTTGTGTATCCCCGGTGTTCCAGGCTCTGCTAGAAGCTGGGGATGAATCTGCGAACATGCTCGCTTCCCCCAACGCCCTCGCAATCCGGTGGGCAAGCCATCGGCTCCAGACTAAAGTCTGTCTTAGGTCGCCTGCCCCATTCTGACACTGGAGATTATGTGCAGGTTTGAGAGATTAGTCAACCTCAAGCACAGCATTGTACCGCTGGGGAACGGCCCTTCTCAGGCCTGGGGCATGTCCCCTGCAGCCTCTCATCTCTAGCTCATCTGCTTATGCCTCCGTTCTATAGGCCTCAGGCTCAGCCTCCCTTTCAGCATCCTCATGCCTTCTTGCAAGAGGTCCTTCTAAGCCAGCTCCCACGGAGCTGCACCTCCTACCAGCCTCTTTCAGAGCCAGCAGTCATCCGCAGCTCCAGTGCTGTCCAGCCAATGCGTGACCTTTGGCAAAGTCCTTTTCCTCTGCCTAGACTCAGTTCCTTCTCTTTCCAGCCTTCCTGTGACCCTTTGCTAACGTGAAGATTTTCTGTTCAAGAGGTAATGTAGGCTGGGTCACTGTGGTGCAGGGAGTCTGCCACTGCCTGAGACACTTGCATCCTGTATCAGTGCCCGTCGGAGTCCCGGCTGCACCCCTTCCCATCCAGCTCCCTGCTAGTGTGCCTGGGAAGCACTGGATGATGGCCCAAGTACTCGTGTCAGACACCTGGATGTAGTTCCTGTCTCCTGGCTTCAGCCTGGTGGCCATTTTGAGGAGTGAAGCAGCAGATGGAAGATTTTCTCTCTCCCCTCTCTTTTTGTTCTCTGCCCTTCCCATTTTTCTTGCTATCATTTTGCCTTTTGAATTAGCAAATCTTTTAAGAAAGAGATAGTGTACTGTGTATATCAAATGTGATAGGAGTTTGTTAAAATATTTTTCATTAAATATTTAAAATGTGCCTCTTGGAAATATTCACCTTTTCAGTTTAGTCATTGATTCAGCAGATACCTACTGAGTGACTTGGTATATATCCATCACTATTTTAAGTAGTGGATATATAATCCCTCTCTTCATCCAGTTGTCATTCCAATAAGAGATAAACAATAAGGAAGATAGATAAAGTAGTTTTAAGATTGTGGTAAAGGGGGCAAGCGTTGTGGCATAACAAGTTAAGCCACCATCTTCAATGCCAGCATCCCATATGGGCGCCAGTTCAAGTCCTGGCGGCTCCACTTCCAATCCAGCCCCCTGCTAATGTGTCTGGGAAAGCAGCAGAGGATAGCCCATGTGCTTGGGCCTCCCATGAGTGTAGGAGCACCAGATGAAGCTCCTGGATCCTGGTTTCTGCCAGTTGTGGCCATTCGGAGTATGAACCAATGGATGGAAGATCTCGATATCTCTCTCTCCCTCTCCCTCTCCCTCTCCCTCTCCCTCCTTCTCCCTCTCCCCTTCCCCCTCCCCCTCCCTCTCCCTCTCCCTCTCTAACTCTGCCTTTCAAATAAATAAGTCTTAAAGTAAATACTGAGGAAAAATTATTTAAATCAAGAAAAGTGGCAAGAAGACATTGGTGGGGGAGCTGTTTTATCTTAGATGTGGGGAAATAGTCACTGCAAAGATGGAGTAAAGATCCGAAGAAAGACGAGAGGGGGAGAAAGGGAGCCTTCTGATAATTGGGGAAGAGCATTTCATGGAGGGAGAACAACAGGTCAAAGGGCCTAGAGCGGCTAGCATAGTGTCTTTTAGGGAGAGAGTAGATGAGGACAGAGAGGTAGCACAAGGCCAGGAGATACTTCCCTGCGGGTCGCAGTAAGGGCTTTGGCTTTACTCTGCTGGGGAACCAGTAAAAGGTGGTGAGCAGAGGATCCACACAATGTGATTTCTGTTTAACAGAGCTATTGGCTGTTCTGTGAAGGACGGGCCCTGGGCTTCAATGGTAGAGGCAGGCAGACCAGTTGGAGCCAGTTATAATAATCTAGAGGTGGTGAATGAGAAGTGGTCGAGTTTTGAATGTATTTAGAAGGTAGAGGCCGGCGCCGCGGCTCACTAGGCTAATCCTCCGCCTAGCGGCGCCGGCACACCGGGTTCTAGTCCCGGTCGGGGCGCCGGATTCTATCCCGGTTGCCCCTCTTCCAGGCCAGCCCTCTGCTGTGGCCCAGGAAGGCAGTGGAGGATGGCCCAAGGGCTTGGGCCCTGCACCCCATGGGAGACCAGGATAAGTACCTGGCTCCTGGCTTCGGATCAGCACCGTGCGCCGGCCGCAGTGCGCCAGCTGCGGCGGCCATTGGAGGGTGAACCAACGGCAAAGGAAGACCTTTCTCTCTGTCTCTCTCTCTCACTGTCCACTCTGCCTGTCAAAAAAAAAAAAAAAGAAAAAAAAAAAAGAAAATTGAGAAGGTAGAGAAAAGGTTTACTCACAGATCTGATGTAGGGTGTCGGAGGATGGAAGGAGCCAAGGTTTCTGGCCCGCACAACTGAAAAATGGGTGTGGCCATTTTTTGAGGTGGGAAAGATGGGGGCGATGGTTTTGGGGAATGTTATCAGATGCTAGGTTGTGGGTGTGTTGAGTTTGAGATGCCTGTTACAGTAGAGGCGTTGAGAGGGCAGGAAAGCATTTGGTTCCGCAAGTCAAGGGAGCATCTTAGGCTAGGTGTATCATTTTGGGACTCACCAGCACATAGATGATGTTTGAACTGGATGAGATCACAAAGGGAATCAGTATAGATGGAAAATTGTTTTCTCCAATATTAAGAATTTGAGGAAACTAGAAGCAGCAAGCTAGATAGAGAAAGAAGACCAAAAGGGATAAATAGAAAGCCAGGTAAAGAGTGTATCCCTGGGACCAGCGCTGCAGCATAGGTTAAGCCTCTGCCTGAAGTGCCTACATCCTATATGGCACCGGTTCATGTCCTAGCTGTTCCATTTCTGATCCAGCTCCTTGCTATGGCCTGGGAAAGCAGTGGAAGATGGCCCAGGTGCTTGGGCCCCTGTACCCGCATGAGTGACCCGGAAGAAACTCCTGGTTTCTAGCTTCAGATTGGCCCCATTGCGGCCGTTTGGGGAGTGAACCAGCAGATGGAACGCATCTTTCTCTGTCTCTCCCTCTCTCTGCCTCTCAAATAAATCTTTTAAAAAATAAATGAAAGTTAAAGAAAAAAGAAAAGGTGTCTAGAAGGAGAAAGTGATCTACTACAGCCTACCTCTGTACAAAATTGTGTTCCTGTTCACTTTAGCACCAGTCCGTACACTTCTTGAAGACAGAGACTGAATGGGTTCCATGTTCCCAGGATCCCATATCTGCTCCTATTGTCATTTTTCTCTCCCATCAGTCTCTGCTTCCTTTTCTTGCTGAATCCCTACCTCAGGCAACCTTCCTGACATCTCTGGTCTCATGGAAAATTCCTCGATAACTTAGAATTTCTTCTAAGTTATTTCTTTCTAACTTAGAAATTCTTCTAAGGTCCTTAGCCAGGTCCAACAAGTCATGATTACTGGTTTTCTGGTAACGTTTGTTGATTTTCCAACAGAGTGCCAGGCACCTTGATAGGTCCTGGGACAGAAAGATGAAGCAGAAGCCATCCCCATTCCTGAGAAAAATGCGGTCTAGTGAGTACCAGAATTACGGAAGAGGGTGGTGTTAGAACCAGTGTGTGCAGAGCATTTTATGAGAACACAGAGGAGGGAGAGGTGAATGGGTTGGACAAATTAAATTTACACTTTTGTTCCAGAGAAGGAAACTTGTGAGTGGGCCTTGAGAGATGAGTAGGAGTTAAGCCCACCAGTAGGCAAGTGGGAGAAGGGAGTCCATGAAGAGAGGGGTCACAATCAAGGGCGTGGCACTGCAAGCAGAGTATGTGCTTGGAGAACAGTGAGAATCCATCGGGTAGGGATGTTGGGAAGGAGGGGAGATGAGAGAATATGAAAGGGTCCAGTTGGGGAAAGGCTTTGGTGGCACTGACATGGGATGTCATGGGATGGGAGTCAAACATCCTGGCTAGCGCCCTGGCCCTGAGGGCTGACTTGTTCGGGACCCCAGGTAGAAGCTTCACATCCCCATGCTTGCATCTTCTCTAACATGGTGTCCTAACCATGTCTCCAACCCTGGTTTGAGTCCCCAGAAGAGATTTCCCAGGCCTGGCCCTTTCTGTTCTGAGATTTTACCTGCTCCTTCTTTGTGTTTTCCACAAACCAGGGCCTGGGATCTAAAACCAGGGGAAGGATGGAAATTTCCCAACAGTCAAAAATAAATCGAAAGCCTGCAGGCTGGAAGTGGAAACCTATGACGCTGTGCTTACACTACTCCAGGATCCAGGAAGGGCCAGAGCTGAACGGCGTGAATTCAGTGCCAGTGAGCTGCTCACTCATTCCTTCCACAGGCCTTGAGGAGCGTGACTGGCCCTGGTAGGGGACAGAGGAGAGGGTCACCGCCATCATCTTGCAGACATACGCTCATTACTTCCTCTTATCTTCACCCCAGCCCTGAAAATCCTGCCCTCAAGTGGCAGATGAGGAACCTGAGGCTCAAAAAAAAGTAGTGGCCCATCGGAGCTGAAGCTGAGACTTCGGAATGTCAAATTTGCCCTCACTCTGAAAGCTTTCTTATGGGCCAGTCTGTATGTGAAGGGGACCCACGGAGAAGTCAAATCTGAGTCCTTATCATTGGGAAGTCCCCCATCTGATGGGGAAGGCATAAAGCAAATCATTAGGCCCTGGAGGACAGGTGTTTCTGTGACTCAACTCCACTTCCCCAGTCTGTTGTGTGGTGCCTGGTGAAGTAGCCGCTCGGTAGATGTTTGTGTCGTACGAATTTATTTCCTTCTGCCTGAGAGGATTGACCGTGCTGATGTTCATTAGTTCATGCGATGAATGCTATGTTGGTGACAGACCCTGGAAAGAGAGGAGGGGGAGCATTGAGAAGCGAGGGCAGCACGTGGGATGGCTGGGGAGGAGGGGGGCCTTGCCGGAGGAGGAGTAGTCAGGAAAGAACATTCTGGGTAAGAGGGGGCAGCACGTGCAAAAGCACAGGGGCCTGAAAGGGTGTCGTGTGCCCAGCACAGGACTGAGGGCCCACCGTGTAGCCATCTCGGCGATGAACAACATGAGAAAATAGGACCAGGAGACAGCGCCCTGCCCCCGAAGGACAGCACCCCTCCTTGCAGGAGGACCAGGAGGTGCTGAGAAAGGCTCCTTTGAGTAGCAGAGGCTGCTGGGCTTTGAAGGATGATTCAGAGTTAGAGAGTCAGCCAGGAGGAAGGAAGAGGACTTTCAGTAGGAGGGGACTCTCTGGGGTCTGCGTGTGTGTGTGTGTGTGTGTGTGTGCAGGGGACGCTGCAGGGAGCTGGCAGGCACCTCCAGGCAGCTTGGGCACTAACATTCCTCCTATCTCGGGATCATGACACCTTGTTCATCTTCTGTCTTTGGGGCCTCTCCGGACCTGACTGTGTGTGTAGGATGGCTAGACGAATTAGAAGGGATCTCTGTGGATTCTCCTCCAGTGCCCTATGACACCAGCCCAGGAGGCGGCCTCCAGCCGGGCCCCTACTTGCTCGGTGGAGTAATGGTCAATTTTGAGTCAGCTCGACTGGATTGAGGGATGCCTGGAGGACTGGTAAATCATTACTGCTGGGTGTGTTTGTGAGGCTGCTTCCGGAGGACTGGTGTGTGAGTCAGTGGCCTGAGTGGGGAAGATCTGCCCTCATCCAATCAGCTGAGGATCCAGACAGAGCAGGAAAGCGGAAGAAGGGGGAAAATGTGTCTCTCTGGCTCCCCCGCCCTCTCTCCCTGGCTCTTCCTGCTGCGTGTCCTCTGCTGCTTGCTGCCCTTGGATGGTAGGCCCGGGTTGCAGCTTTCTATTCTGGGGCTTGCACCAGCAGCCGGCCAGGGGCTCCCAGGCTTCTAGCTTCTGGGATGGGGTCGTGTGGACTGGCTTCCTCGGCTCTTCAGCTTGCAGATGGCCGTGGTGGGCTTTTTCCACCTCTGCAATCATGTAAGCCAGTCTGTAAATCCCCTCTATGGGTTCTGTTTCCCTGGAGAACCCTGATCATGCACACATGGGTTTGCATATATTTGCTTACCACAGCCAAGGGCTCCTCACTCTGGCCGTGGCAAAAATAGAAAGTCAGAGAGGCTATTTGTGCTGGAGGCAGAGACTGAAGAGACACAAACAACATGCAAATCCTCACCATCACACCAGAGTGATAGGCGGAATAAAGCCCCCACCACCACCACCACCGACGAACGATACCTGTATTGCTGATCCCAGAGCCTGTGAATATGTGATCGTACATGGAAAGGGACTTCGCAGATATGATTACGGGTTAGGACCTTGACACAGGGAGACTAGCCTGATTGTCCGAGTGGGCCCCTTCTGTTTACACAGCTCCTTAAAGTCAGGGGACCTGGGACTGGCATGGTGGCACAGCAGGTTAAGCTGCCAGTTGCAATGCCAGCATTCCATTTCAGAGTGCCAGTTCAAATCCCAGCTATTCTGCTTCTGATCCAGCACCCTACTAATGTACCTGGGAAAGCAGTGGAAGATGGTTCAAGTACTAGGGCCCCTGCCACCCATGTGGGAGACTGAACCCAGCCTCAACCATTGCAACTGTTTGGGAAGTGAACCAGTAGATGGAAGATATTTCTCTCTCCCCTCTCTCTCTCCCAGTCTCAGCCTTTGCCTCTCTTGCTCTCTGTAACTCTGTCTTTCAAATAAATGATTAAATAGATCTTTTTCTTTTAAGAGAATCTTTTCCAGCTAAGGTTAGATAGTAAGATGTTATAAAAAAAAGGGGGGATGCCACATTTCTGGTTTGAAGATGGGAGAAGGGGCCTTGAGTCCAGGAATGCAGATGGGCTCTAGAAGCTGGAGAAGGCAAGGAAACTGATTCTCCCTGGGATCCCCCAAGGAGGAACAGAAACCTGCCGACACCTTGATTTAAGTGCGCTGAGGCTCAGGGTTTGTACTTGTAGCCTACAGAACTGAGAGATGATAAAATTGCATTGTTTTAAAGCCAATTGAAAAGTATTACATGGGCATACACATCTATACTCATGCCCAGACACTGAGTCACACCGTCATACATGCTCGGGCAGACACAGCTGGGAGACCCAGAGGCACGGCAGCCTCCAAACAGAGGCTGGAGAGAAACAAAGCTTCAAGGGTATGCTGGGGGTGGGGTCCAGTGGGGAAGCCTTCTCCTTGGTGGTTGTGAAGAAAGCACAGATCAAAGACCTCACCCTCTGGCCACACTTTCAGTCTTTATATCACACTTTCTTAAAAACATTTTCATTTAGTAATTTTCTAGAAGATTTATTTTATTTATTTGAGAAGTAGAGTTACAGACAGAGAGAAGCAGAGTGAAAGGCCTTCCATCCACTGGGTCACTCCTCAAATGGCTACAACTGGAGCTTAGCCAATCCAAAGCCAGGAGCCAGGAGCCAGGAGCTTCTTCTGGGTCTCCCACGTGGGTGTAGGGGCCTAAGGACTTGGGCTACCTTCTACTGCTTTCCCAGGCCATAGCAGAGAGCTGGATCGGAAGAGGAGCAGCTGGGTCTAGAACCGGTGCCCATATGGGATGCCAGTGCCACAGGCAGTGGCTTTACCCACTATACCACAGTGCCAGCCTCCATTTATTAATTTTTAAAATTTATTTGAAAGGCAGAGACAGAGACAGAGAGAAATCTTCCATCTGTTGGTTTACTCTCCAAATCCCTGCAACAGCCAGGACTGGGCCAAGCTGAAAGCTCCATCTGGGTCTCCCACGAAGATGGCAGGGACCAAAGTATTCACCTGCCAACTGCTAGGGTGTGTACTAGGAGGAAGCTGGAATCAGGAGCAGAGCCAAGACTCAGATCCAGACACTCTAATACAGAATGAGGGCATATCAAGTGACATATTAACTGCTAAGCCAAACACCCACCCCTATATCATACTTTCAGCAGCTTTTGTTCCAACATTTATGCTAAATACTATCGAGTATATGTGCAACATGGACAAACCCATGAAGATAGTGTGACAAATGAAATAAGCAATCATAAAAAGACAAATATTTCCCCATTTCACTATACACTTGAAATGACTAAAATGGTAAATTTTATGTAGTATATATTTATATGAGAGGGTCTTCAAAAATTTCATGGAAAGTGTATGCTATGAAAAAACTAGGAGCAGGCATTTTGGTACAGCAGGTTAATCTGCTGCTTGGGATGCCCACATCCCACCTGGGAGTGCCAGTTCAAATCCTGGCTACTTGGCTTGTGATTCAGCTCCCTATGAATGTGTCTGAGAAGCACTCAGATGACCCAAATACCCAAGTACCTGCCACCCAGGTGGGAGAACGGATGTAGTAGTTGGCTCCTGGCTTTGGCATGACCCAGTCTCAGCTATTGCAGCCATTGGGGAATGAATCAGCAGATGAAAGCTCGCTCTCTCTCGCTCTCTCTCTCTCTCTCTGTCACTCTGTCTTTCAAATAAATTTTTAAATTTAAAAAAAGCATAGATTTCAGAATTTTTGTAAAAATTTATTTTATTTTACTTGAAAGGCACAGTTAGAGAGACGTGTCACCACTATCTACTTGAAATGCTGACCATCTCTCCTGAGCAGTTACCATTTCTAGTAGCTTACACATGACTATAGAGTGATCTCCCAGGATGGGGTCTGGTACAATAGTTAAGCCTTCTTTTGGGATACCTGGGAGGCAACGGCCAACGTTACAGGCCCTGGTGGAGTTCCAGTTCAAGGCAGTAAATGCACAGCAGAACAAAACCATTGCAGATGCTCTCCATGTCCGTAGGGGGCCTTCATGCAATTCCCAGTACACAATTTCCAGAATTGTGAGAGTGGGGAAAAGGACAGGGCTCTGAGAGTGCCCCCAGAGGCCAGGTGAACAATGCCAGTCCTGCCCCAAGCGAAGGTTCTCAGACCCCAGAAGTGTCAGTCACACTTTTCCAGCCCTCCTGAGCAGGAAGAAGTGATGGAGAGTGTTAACAGTCAGGGTGCAGGAGAGCAAGGTTGCCCAGTGAGATGTATGCGGATACAGATGGCAATTCCACAGGAGCCCTCCTCACCAAAGAGCCCAGAGAGGGCTGTGATGGAGAGGGACAGGTAAAGCAGGGAGATGAGACCCAAGGTCAGCCACCGTCTCAAATTTGGAACCACAGCTTCAATGGCCAAGCCAGAAGCCCAGAGAATCCTAAACCACAGAGGCAGACACCAAGGCAGTCTGTCCACCAGCCAAGAAGCCGTTGGCTCCCCTTGCTGAGCGGGGCAGGGCTCAGCAAATGCTGGTCACCATCCCTGCCAAAATCCAGTCATCCAGGAAGAAGGAATATGAAATTCTGGCAATTAGAAGTGAACAGAAGATTAGAGCCCAGGATGGGCATTTGGCCAGCTGGTCAAGGCACATATTCAGACTCCAGCACCTCACATCAGAGTGCCTGGGTTCATATTGCCTCTGGCTCCTCGCTCCAGCTCCCTGCCAATGTGGATTCTGGGGGACAGCAAAGTGGTGGGTCAAGTGCTTGAGTCCCTGCTGCCCACGTGGGAGACTTGGACTGAGTTCCCAGCTCCCGGCTTCAACTGGACCCAGCCCTGGCTGTTGTATGTATTTTGGGAGTGAATTGGAAGATGGGAGCACACACTCTCTCTGCCTCTCCTTCTCTCTCTGTGTAACTTTGACTTTCAAATAAATAATTAAAAAATAAATCTTTAAAAAAAA